CCTTCGTCCCTGGGGTGGACTCCACGATAGGAATGTGGGCGGCTTGACTGACAACGGAATCGGCTTTCCCCTTTCCTTTCTCCGGCCACTCAGCATGACCCGATCCGTGTCGGTGCCGTTGATGGGCGACGAGTCTAGCATTTATCAAGAGGCTTACCCGGCGGACGACGTAGGAGGGGATTTCTCCAATCAGGACGAGGAGGAGGAGGTCGCGGATCTCATCCGTGTTGAGGAAGACCTGGGATCCCAGGTCGGGATCGGGAACGAATCCTCGATTGCAAGGCAGAGCGGTGGTATCCTTGATCCCAACCTCGAGATCAGCATGGGTGCGATGAACGAGCTAAGCCGAACCATTGATCAGAGTGAGGCCGACAACTCAGCCCCAAGATCTAGGGTCGTCCAAGAACCCTTCGGCAGTGAGGTCGAGGTCGACGACACGGACATGGTCGACGAGGAGGAGGAGGAGGAGGAAGATGACGACGACGACGATGAGGATCTTGAAAGCATTCGCAAAGACATGCTCAATTCTAAGGCCGTCCAGAACCTCTTGAAGAAGAGAGTGGCCAGGAGGAGGAAGAACCTGTGAGTTTGGACAGAAATCTCTCCCCCAAAGGAGACCAAGGAGGGACCTGACCATTGCATCCTCCCTCTTCCCATCACCTTCCCCCCCTCTCCGTCCGAAGGATATCTCCTCACACGGGGAACCCCCTCCCATCACTGCCGGAGAGCATGCTCCTGGAGACGTTCAACACGTTCCTAAACCACTCGTCCTCGTCCTCGTCATCATCATCGCAAAGATCCTCAAGGAAGCCCAAGATCCTAGCCCAGGCCAAGGAGGAAATCTCGAGATCCGTCAACCTCCACCTCTCAAGGCTGAGCCAGCAGCTCCTCCAAGTGGCCTCGAGGTCAAGGGGTTCCAAGGCCGGAGGTGGCCTGACCATCAACGAGACCGACATGATCAAACTCTTGCAGGAGAAGGGCATCGTAGGACCAAGGCAAAGCCTCGCGGGTCTGGCGGCCCGGTACCTCCCTAGGGAGATGGTCGACCTCCTCAGCTTGCCCGAAACACCGGTCGGAGGTCTAGTGGAAGGAACCCGACCCGAGGCCAGGAGGAAGAGAAAGGAGAGGCCAGATGGTGACCATGACGATGACGACAGCGAGAGCAAGGGGAAGAAGTCTTCTTCCGCAGCCCTCTCGAAAGGTGACGCTCCTTACAATCCTTCCACCAGGGTGGTTCGAGCAAAGCCCCCCAGAACCCCTGTTAGGAGGTGAGGGTTCGTTTAGCCTTCGATCCTCTTCTTTCTTCTTCCCACCTTCCCCTTCCCACCTTGTACATTATTCAACGACGCAATTCAAATGGAATCTCGCTTTGCCTATCGCATCCTTCTACCCACCCTGTTTCCAACTCATCCCTTCCGACAAGGGAAAGATTCCAACACCTCGCCTTTCCTCACCCATCGCATCACACATCCTAGCATAGATTCCGAGAGAGAGAGTGAATCAGTGATCACAGGTTGGGCCCACCAGAAAAAAACGAACAAAAGAAAGGCCCCTCAACCTGCTGCTGCATCTTCTTTTCCCCATCTCTCCCTTTCTGTCCCAATTCCAATAAACCCCTCCCCCGATATGATTCCCCCCTCCCCCACGTCACGCAGCCCCAGCAAAGTGGACGGCCTTCTGGACGAGCGCGTCCAGACTCCTTTTCAATCGGTCCACCAGCTCTCCAGGCCTGTTGAAGTGTTCGACGATCTCGACGATCTCGTCAGCCGAGGCTCCTTCCTCCTCGTCGCCGTCCTGCATCCTCCTCATCACCTCGGCCACCCTGGTCGCCTTCCTGACGTTCTGGATCTCGCTCCACTCCCAGTGGTGGAGCGAGTGCATCACCTCGGCCCTCTTGACGCACCACGATCCCACGCAGAACCTCTTGACCATCTTGCCCTTGCTGTTCCTCACGTCCTGAGCCAGTCCTTCGGCGTCGGTCGAGACCTCCTCGGACGAACCCGAATCGTCCGACGAGAGCTCCAGCGGGCCGATCGTCTTTTCGTCGTACCGGTTTCCAGAGAAGATGACCGAGTGCGTGGCCTCCTGCTTTCTCTTGTGGCAAGCGGCGCACCCCAGCGAGGCGTGCGAACCCGCTCCCGTCTCGTCGCGGAAGAGCGGCCGAACCTCGATCTTGGGCAGCCTGCAGAGGTACCACTTGAACTGCCTCCTCATCACCGAGGACGTCAGGGACTCCTCGCTCCCCCTCATCTTGCCCCTCAGCGTCGACCGAGCCTTTTCCAGCCGAACCCTGTCCGCAGCCGAGAGCTTGGCCCAGGGGATCAGGCACCGGCACACTGCCCACTCGACCCAGTCCAGGCAGAGCTCCCTCATCGACTGCTTGCCGATCCCGATCTGGCTCAAAAAGTGCTTGCCGTGGCTCACCGTCAGTCCAACTGGCTCCTGGTTCAAGAAGGAGAAGTGGGGCGCCGGTGACCTCGTCCTCGACCTCGGCTTCATGCTCTCCCCGCCCTTGCCCTCCTTGCCTCTCCGAGATTTGGATCCCTTACGCCTGGAATCGGCTTTGAATCCCGAGGTGCTGCTCCTCTTGCCCTCGCCGCCACCACCACCAGGTCTGTACGAAATGTCCCCATCGACGAAATCATCATCCACGATAAAGTCCAAGCTATCGGCGCTCCCACTGCTGCTCCCGCTGCTGCTGCTGCTGCTATCATCCCCTTCCTCGATGACGCTGCTCTTCTCACTCTCGCTCCCTCTCTCGCTTCCGCCGTCAGAGCTCGACGAACCGGCTCGACTCCCCCACAGGCTTTCGTCGTCCCCGTCCGACTGGCTCGCGTTGTTGAGTAGCCTCTTGCGCCTCTCCTCCTGGAACTTTTCCAGGTTCTTCTTGTAGGTCTCCTTCTTGTTGGACCCCGTGCTCCTCGCGAAGGCGTCGGCGTTGAGGAACGATCTGAGATCGTCGTCCTCCTCCTCGTCCGAGCCGGACCTTGGGCGGCGTTGCTTGCCTTGCTTCTTTCCCTTGCGCTTCTCCCGCCTCCTCCTCCTCTCCTCCTCCTCCTCCTCTCTCTGCTTCTTCTTCTTCTTGCTGCTCTTCTCGCGACCCTCTTTGACGTCCCTTCCCGCTGCCTGACCCCCTTCCTTCCCCAAGCTGCCTTTAACCTCACTCGGCTTCGCCTCGGCAGCCTTGACGCCACTCGCTGGCGTAACCCGCTTGCTCGCACCAGGCGTCGAGAGCGTTTCGATGATGGTGAAACCTTGCTCCTCGTCTTGCGAGCCATCGTTGAGCTTCCGCCCATGCCCATGCCCATCCTCCTTGGCCAGCTGCTCTTCAGCCTCCAGCTCGTCCTCCTCGTCCGAGGGGGGCGAGAGGAAGACGGGTTTCGGCTTGCCGGTGTCAGCCTTGGCGGTGGCAGCTACTGGCTTCGGCCTGGGTCTTGGCAGTTCCTGATCCAGAAGCAGGTTGGATTGATCCCCAGGTGCCTCCGGAGTAGCCTCCACCACCTCGTCGCGGGCAGGTTTCGCCACCTCAACCTTTGTCGGCGCATCCTTCCTCACCTCGTCCTCCTCCTCGACCTCCAAGTCCACGATCTCGATCCTTGGCTTCTTCGATCCGAGAGGCTCGGTTTTTTGGGGCGAGGATGAAGAGCCGAGTCGAGGAGAAGGCGAGGAGGCTCCGCCATTCGATCTCTTCCTGGCTGATGAGGATGGTTGAGGGCTAGGTTGTGCCTTGGTTGCAATCATGGTGGGTGACCGAGGTCGGAATTGAGGGTAAGCTGTCCATAGGTGCTGTGGCAGCTTGGGCACTTCAACCCAGCAGGTCCAGTCGGTCGGAACCTCGTTGCCGCTGTCAGCTCGGACCATGGCTGTTGGCTCTTTGCTTCGGGAGAAGGAGGAAGGGAAGTCCGGCTTGGTAGTGGTGTTGGTGGTGGTGGTAGTGATACTGATGAGGCAGCGTGTGATAGGGTTGTGTGTGTGTGTGTGAGAGAGAGAGAGAGAGAGAGAAAGATGGGCGGAATTCGTTCAACCCCCCCCCCCCCCCCCCAGAGACCCTTCAACCTTTCGAGTGGCTCGTCGGCGTCATCAGAGGATGTGAAACGATAAACAAATTGTGCGTTGAGGAGGGGATGGCAGAGGAGGGGAAGAAAGGGTCGGAGGGATGAGCGCTCTCCCTCACATGTTCCGACCCGAAGCTGGTTTGGGGTGGGCGGAGGCGATGACTTTTTTTATTTCTCACTTTTCCCAACTCCTCCTCCTCCTTCGTTCGATCTTTGTTCATCTGGGCTCGTTTTCACTTTTTCATATCGCCTCCCGCCTCCAACGCTCCCGCCATCTTCGGATCAATCCATCCCAACCGACCAATTTACGCCCCCCATCCCCCTCGGACTCACTCCCTCTCTTTCCCCCCTTCCTCGACCGAATTCCCAACCACCTCTCCCTCCGTGTCAAGAACATGAAACGCTGATCGATTCCCAACCCTTCGCGCTCTGGCAGATCCATCCGATCGGCACATTCTTGTCCGGAGCCAATCCACGTCCGAGTCCTGCTCCCCATGGCTCCACCAGTCACCGGCCTGGGTGCTGAGCCGAGGAGGTGCCGGGTCGTGTGCGGCGGAGAAAGCACAAAGAAAAGCCCAGAGCATACATCCAAGGTGGCAAAGACGGCGCGCGGTAGGAAACCCAAACCAAAAAAAAAAAAAAAACTAAACTCGCTTTCGCAAGCATTTCCCCAATCCACGTTGCTGATCCAGAGGGCCACGGATGCCTCAAGTCGAGCAACGGGGTCAAAGCATGGTGAGAAGCAGAACCAGCCAAGCCACACCCACACTCTCACACGACTTGTCTCCTTTTTCGCCTCCGACCTTTCCTTCCGTGTCTTGTCTTTTTCTGTGTTTCCTCGTCTCACAAGTCGAGCTTGAGGGGTTCATGCTCTAGTTCTTCTTGACCTTAGCCACAAATCTAGTCAGGAGTATATTGTCAATCATTTCCCCCGAAGACAAGCAAGGCACTTTAGCTCAGTTGGTTAGAGCGTTCGCTTAACAGTTCTTTCCGCGAAAGGTCCCCGGTTCGAGCCCGGGAGGAGTCAGCCTATAAAAATCTTTTTGCACCATCTGTTGCTTCCTTTTTGTTTCCCCTGGGCCCATCATTCTCCCATCTTCCGCGCCTCCACCGAAGGGGGTGTACAGTACGTAGTGAGCGGAATGAAAATGGAAAAGAGGAAAGAAAGGTAGGCGGAAGGATGAGAGAGACAGTGGCGCGCTCGGACCACGTGTGAAAGGTGGAACCCGTCTGACGATTCCGAAGCGGTGTGTTCGGCGTTGTCGGTGGATGATCTTCTGTCCATCGTCAACAGTGGTGACAAGCTGCCGACCGTCTTTCACCCCCTCCTTTCCCCCTTCCCTCTACCTCCCTTGCTAGTGCCTAACCCCCCCCCCCCACCACTTCCCCAACCCCACCCATCCCAAATGTCCCAATACCCGCTGAGTGACCCTTACTCGCCACCGTCTCAACCGCCGTACCCTTACCTCGTACCCCCGAACAACGCCGGCTCTCTCGCGACAGGAGTGACGAGGTCCAGGACGCTCCTCTTCCTCTCCTACAGGGATTCCGTACCCAGGTCTTCGTCGAAACGCGCCACCGCTACCTTCCCCTCCTTCTACTCCGACCTCGATCAGAACCAGCAGGACGCCGCTTTCTACCACGATGAACGCGAAGACCACCGGAGACCCCTCCTCTCCCCCTCGACGACTCCGAGACACACTTCGATAGAGATTCCACCTCCTACCGACCATCCTCTCTCCTCGTCTCCGTCGTCCGCCAACGCTCCCTCCCACTTCTCCGACCTACCTCCAAGGTGGATGGACACGTCGGACCAGGTCGACTCGATCCTCAACTCGCTCAAGGCCAAGATGCAGAGGTTGGAAAAGCTCCACCAAAAGCACCTTAGACCGGGATTCACCGATCGCTCCCAGGAGGAGAGGTCGATCGAGCAACTCTCCCTGGAGATCACCAGCGACCTGAGGAGGTGCACCAGGATGATCTCCAAGCTCTCCATCGACGACGCCCAAGAGCTGCCTTCCACCAGAGACCCTTCGTCGTCCACCACGACGAGGCGTTCGGCGCTGGCGAGGAACGTCCAGACAGCTCTGGCAACCAAGGTTCAGGACGTGAGCGGCAAGTTCAGGAAGCAGCAGAGCCTCTACCTCAAGAGGATGAAGGGCCTGGAGGTCAGGGACTGGGACATCCGTGCCGCCGCTGGCGTGGCTCCCAACGGTGGTGGTGGCCCCAACGGGAAGGAGAGGGCCTTCAGGGACAACGAGATGGCCGTCAGGGAGGACATGGAGCTGGTGAGTCGTTCTTTACACAACCCCTCTTCGTAAAACGCCGCGGCCGAACATCTGACAGAGGTTCCGGTTTGCCCTTCTTATTTCTTCCTGGAAAACACCACGTGGTGGGAAATCAATCAAATGAAAACAAAAAATGAAAATCAAAAGTCGAGAGCGGCGCTATCCAAGTCTTCCAACCCGCAGTCTCAACTTCTCATACAAGAGGAGGAAGGAGGAGGAGGAGGAGGCTCGGCGGGGCTTCTCGTGGACGGTGTCGACATCTCCCAGAGGTCGAGGGAGATCGACGAGATCGCAAAGTCGATCGCCGAGCTGGCCCAGCTCTTCCAAGACCTCTCCAACCTGGTCATCGATCAGGGTACGCTGCTGGATCGCATCGACTACAACGTCGAGACCATGAGCCGAGAAATGGAGGGAGCCGTCAAGGAGCTCAACGTGGCCACCTCGTGAGTTTCTCCCTTCTTCTTTCATGCTGAGCGCCTCTCCAAACCTCCCCTTTGGAAATCTTTCTTTTTGCGACACGAGAAAACTAGGAATGCGCTGCTCACTCAAAGTTTGTCATCTTCCCCCACACTCTTACGCCTTCCCCCTCTCGCGCTGCAACGACGACGTCGGGACAGGTATCAACGGAGGTCCGGAAGGAACCAGTTGATCCTCTTCCTCCTTCTCTGCATCGCGCTGCTGATCGCCATCATCGTCATCAAACCTTTCTGGAGGTCTTCTTCCGACCCGAAAACACGATGACGCCAACATGGAGCGAGGGAGAGGAAGCAGTCGCTATGGGAAGGGGGGGGGGGGGGGGGGCTTTTCTTCTTCTTGTCAACTTTCGCTTGAAGTCCAAACGCACGCACACACACATATCAGCACTTGCGATCCCATGTTCAGATTCTGGGAGGGGGGTTTTGGGGGAACGTATCATAGCTTGCTACTCCGAATCGTTCGGGTGGGTGTGTTGGAAGCGAAACCGAGTCTTCCCAGATGGGAAGGCGACAGCGCCCTTCTTCCCACTCTTTGAATCCCCACAAGTCCTACCGAGTTGGACCGACCCCGAAACAGCGGCTGGGCCAGGACCATGTCGGCAACCTCTCGGCGCCGCCACGACAGTGAGGGAGGGGATCCGATCGCAAGATGGGGAGAGATCCATTCTACGCGCCGTTTTTTGAGTCATCAACGTAAGACCATATCAAGGGACCAATCATAGCTGCGGAGACTCCCGCAACAAGTAAGGATACTCCGCTGGCAACCAATGCCATCCTAATCCAAGATATGTCGTCTGTGCCACAAGTCATTGGTAACGAGGGGAAAGGGGTGAGGGAAGGATCTCCCCAACCCGATGGTTAGAACCCGCGCATCTCATCATCTCTCCACGAGGTGGGACTCCGCTTTAATCCCCCCCGAAAATCACTCACCCATTCGAGCATGTTTCCCTTCAAAAAAGTCACTCACAGCTTGCCCTTTAGCGTCTTCGTCTAGCAAGGCAATCTTTTCCTGGAAAGCCAAGACATCCATCCCTTACACAAAGTGAAGAGGAAGAAAAAAGAGCAATTGGTTCAGAATTCCATGTTATTCCTCCCTCAAAGCTCCCCGCACCCGCTTGATCATGCTGCACCCTTGGCGCTTTTCTTCATTCAGAGACGACTCACTGAGGTATCCGTAACGAAAGTATTCGTTCTTGTCCGCATACTTCTTCGCCAGCCTCCTCAAGACTTTTTGTTCCCCCGCCCCCCAAACCGTTCAAAAGTGAGCGAGAGTCCAGTCTCCACATGAAGCCCCGAAGCTCCACCTCAAGTCCTAGTCACTCACTTTTGGCGCTTGCGATGGGTACCTGGGGTACCTGGGGTATCTGCGCCTCATGGGCAACCATCGGAGCCACCGGAGCGGCCGGAGCCACCGGAGCGGCCGGAGCCTCTGGGGCCCTATGGGTCATCCTCAGGAAACCCGAAACTTTTTATTCATCCCCCCCCGCCAACAACGTTTGAAAGTGAGCGAGAGTCCAATATCCACACGAAACCCCCACTTTCCTTCAAAGATCCAGTCAGCAGCAGTCACTCACTTCTGGCAATTATGGTGGGAGGAGCCTGGGGCGCCTGCGCCACTTGGGCCACTGGAGCCACCGGCGCTACTTGGTCCGCAACTTGTTCTGCGGCGAGACGGTTCAGCTTCCCATCCGTTCAGCCTTCCAGCTTCAACCCGAGATTTCGCGACGGCGTTTTTCTCCTTTTCGACGAACTCTCGAGAGACTCACCAGGGGCCGGCGCATGGTCGATCTGTTCCAGTACTTTTGAAGCAGTGTCGATCCGTGTTCTTCAGAGTGAGCAAGGGGAGGTGTATTGGGGGGGGGGGTGGGGGTTCTGGGTGTCTGTGTCTGCGGTCTTTTTCAACTCACCGGGAACGATTTTTTGGTCATCCTCTGTTTCATTTTCCGACGAGGGGACGTGGCAAAGGGTTCGATCTGAGCGTCAGTTCCTGGAACTCTCGGTACATCTCGGAATGAAAAGGTCTGGAAACACCACTCACTAAAGAAAGATCCGAAGAGACCTTTGGCGAAGTAAAGCGAGAAGGGAGGGAGCGAGGACCGTCAAACCAAAGGTGGTGGTTCAGAGATCCTGGAAGTGTTCAAAAGAGAAAGGAGACGCCGGAAGAGCCTGAGCTTGACTCCCCCCTCCATCGATCGTCATACTCACTTCGTTTCGAGAGAGAATCCTCTTTGAACTCTTCGAATGGAGCACGATCTTACGTTCCCGAAGTCTCAGTGAAACTTGGCCCAAGAGAGGTTAGGAGGAAGAAGAGTGGAGCACAGGACGAGCAGTAGCCTCCTGCCCTACCCTTCTGCAACTCACCTTGACCAAACTGACCGGCAGGTGCAGCGATGGGAAGCGCACCGACATCAACCCTTGCGAGGGCCAACGCCAGTAGCACGTAAGGGAGGAGTTCCATTCCCTCTTCTTCCTCTCAGAGATCGGCAAGCGAAAAGAAAGGAAGGGTGAGGGGCAAGTAGAGGCAGAAAGTCGAAGAGCCAGTCCACGGCCGTCTTGATCGAGCCAAAAGTCTGGTTGTAAAAAAAGGTCAACGAATTAAAAAGAGAGAGAAAGGAAGGAAGAAAAAGAAAAAGTGAAATCGCAAGGGAGAACAAGAAAAGCAGGAAAGTTCAAGCAGAAGAGGCGAAGAGGGAAGGAAACGGCCACGACGACGGGCGACAGGGGAGGGGAGACAAGCATTATTTAAGTTCAACATCGCTCCTCACTCGAACGCCGAGCCCCACCCCCCATCACATGCCTTCCGTTTCTTCCTCTTGTCGTTCTCACCGAGGACGCCTCCTTGTATGCGCAAGAATTCTCGCTCACGGCGGTTGGGACCTTTGAAGCAATCAGCCCCGGATGGCGCCTTGACGCCTCCCGTGGCTGCTTGATGAGTCTCGGACGACGACTTGTTTTGGGACTCGGCTTCCTCGAAAGGAGGAGAGCCTCACTCCAAAGATGGCTGGGTCGGACCTATTGAGCGATCCGGCTCCGTCCTTCGTCAGGGAGGACCTTCACGTCCGGGCCTGTGGTAAGCCACTGTGACTGTCGGAGATCTAGGAAAGAGAGGAGAGGAAATCGCATCGCGGGTGATGCTGCTCTCCGATGAACTCGTCCCCTGCCATTTGAGTTCAGCCAGGGCCCAGGCGTCGTTCCTCTCAGCTGCTCAGGGTGTGGATGAGAGCGACACCAAGGACATTCTCGGGGCCCATGTGGTTATTCGG